TAGAGCAATAAGTTTTATATTGATGTTGTTAGCTTTTTGAATCACTTATGTTGCAACGCAGCTGTTCCCTCATGCGTACTACTCGTGTTTTTAATACTACTCGTGTAACATTCATAACCTGAAGTACATATCTATGTATACGACCCTGCTGTGGTTTTTGGCTACTGCTAACTGGGGGGTTTTTTTTTCTCATCAATGCTTCTGTTTAGACCACTGTGTGTGAGAAGATCATGGAACAACTGCAACACGGCAACGAGGGCGTTGCTGTGCTGATACATCAGGACAGGTAATTCAACTCAGACGTCCAAAACAAAACGAAACAAAAACAATTGGTCGTGCGTACGTATGAACATGCATATATTAAATTACGATCTGTTCAACTTTTATAAAAAATGTGAATTCCATGCATAAACGCACGAATCTGACCGAATGATGGCGTACCATCTGGTGAGACCGATTGCACTGATCTATCTGACACTCGAACATTGATACACTCCATTGTTGCACAGAATCGTGTGTATGGTAATGACAAACTATAGAGTACTATGCAGATATCCTACCGGGAGTGTTTTGTACCTTAGTAGTGTGCCCATATTGGCTATGTGCGTTGCGCTCCAGTGGCAGACCTATCGTTACCGGCGGCTCTTGTACGCTTCTAAATTCTTAAATTGTAAAATCATTCGCATCTCCGACTCTTTCTCAGTTTCTACAAAACTCTGGACAAATCGATTGACGTCTCGACATACAACTTCGACCATCCAGGTATATAGTGTTGCATGTCCCTCTACTAAACTTTATGCCTTGACTTGTCTACGCGCCTGTGACTGGAAACGGCGCTCTTCTCGGTATCAGCTGAACCGATTTCTTTTTCTTACCTATCATCCTACTGCTCCCCAATATCAAATTATTTTCGCACAAACCGTCGGGACACCGTATATACTTGTTCAATCTCATTCACTTTATTTCGCGCGCACTGACGTTCGCAGCATACAAACCTGCAGTAATACACGCACCATAGATTCACGCTTTGCGTTTGCTTCCAGTCAGTGTGTGTGTAAAGTTCCAGGTAGTTACATTGCCTTACGTACTATATATAATGCAATATCTACCCGCGCTACACACGAAATTGAACCTATTATCTGTGTAATACCCTGTATCTACCTTATGCCTGTTTGATTATATTTCCGGGCGAGTATTCAAGCCACGTATATAATGTCCGTGTGCAGATGCTTTCGATCTGGATGAGATGAATTGGGTGTTAAGAGAACTCTCCGAGGGCCGGTCTGTCGACTTGCCCAAGTATAATTTCAAGACACACTCCAGGTTTGTTTCCTCTCTCAAAATGTTTGTCCTATAGAAAACAATGCTCGTGTTTGTTTTTACCGGGGGTTTTTTTTGGAGTCACTCGTGGAAAGCTATCGATAGCAGAGTGTAGATCATAAATCGCAATTCTAAGAATTGGTTTTACCTTATTTAGTTTCATTTGGCTATTTTCGTGCATTCTCTTTAGATGAGTGTCTGCTGCAACGAAAATCAGAATCAAACCGCTTGTTATTTTTGCAATGTATTATGAAAACGGTCTTTGCAGGATGGAAGAGACAGAGCGCTTGAACCCTGCCAAGATAATTCTGCTTGAAGGCATCATGTCCTTCTACACTTCGGCACTCAGAGAGACTTACGATATGAAACTGTTTGTAGACTGTGACGATGATGAGCGATTGGGCAGAAGAGGTATGTGATAAACTGTTGCTGTGATGGTGCAATAAATCGTCAAATATTATTTGTTCTTACATCTACATATATTTATCACAATCGACAACAATACTCCATGTATATTCATAGACACTCTTTTCTAGGTCAGTATACAGCAATTGTTATATGAAAATTGCTCTATAACGTTTGTGACGTACATACGAGTCACTCGGGATCAAACTGGTGACCTTCAACTGATTCTCCACTCAATATATTCTTTACAGTGCTACGGGACATACAACATCGCGGGCGTGATCTGGATGGCGTCCTTAGACAATACATACAATATGTCAAACCCTCGTTTGAGGATTTTATATTACCGGTACGTTGTGTTGTTGGATTTATCGCTCGCTCTATTGTTTTACCATGTTCACTTGTAACTACTTCATTGTGCAAGTTCCCATGCGGGCCCTCCCACCCATTCAAGTGATGCCAAAAAATCCGCCTTCGTGTGCATCACGTCCTAAACATATTCGGTAATTGTATGTATCCGCAAGTAATGTATAATGACTTATTACGAAATGTGATTGTGACGACCGGTGACGTTCTAAAGATTTGTTATATGGCCCATCGCAGACGAAGAAATATGCCGATGTCATCATCCCCAGAGGCGCCAGCAACCACGGTATGACTGATTGTGGTTATGTTGTGTTTCTTCGTAGCCCTGTGCACCCAAGCATTGTGTTCCCGTATGTGGTTTCTCCTGTGCTGGAGTGCGTTGCATGGGAAATCTGTTGACACACTTGACGATATCTTGTATTCTGTGCTCGGGCTATGGGCGCACAAACATCTCACGAGATTGTCTTGTTTGTAGTCTGACGTTCAGATCGCAATATCACTTTGCGGTTTTCAGTAGATAGTGGATTATGGTTTCGCTCTTTTGTCCAGGAATATGGTTAGGCTTGTCCTTATGAAAGTACTGTAGCAAGTACTCAAGGGGTGATGGCGTGCTACGTTTTTCGTTTTTCGTCGCCAGACGGTGCGAGTAGTATCTGTACGTGCGCGTGTAGTTGGTATCAAGGTGTTTTCCGTTCGGCGTTCATGTATGCAGAACGGCTCACTGTACTGCGCTTGCGCTGTCAGTACTAAACTTGTACACAAAGGGCTATCTCTAGTCAGCAACATCTCCAGCGTTCGCATGCGTGGGTAGGTCATGGGTACACACTATTGATCTGGGTCTCGATCGAAGCGGTGGTAGCATCGATCAAGAGATCAACCTCCTTTCTTCATGTTTGTTCCCCCTCAGTGGCTATTGATTTGATCGTGGAACACATAAAAGAGCAAGAACAGTCACAAGGTCAGCCGAAATTGGCGAATGCGGCGACGCATGTGGCGACTCCCAGACAAAGGCCCCACTAAACCGAACCAATAAAATTAGGATTCTTTGTATGTATCGGAAATATCCCGCGTTTCTTTGCTGCTTTATAGCTTGTCGCGTCAGCAGTAAATTTGCTCGTTTACAATATGAGATTTGGAACAATCCGAACGAGATACATAAAATGGTCAACGGTATTTCGAATTTTTGGCAAATGACATTCATGCTACAATGCAAAACAAAGCACAGGCAGATTGTTTGAATCCCCTGACGAACTCTGTGGAAATAGACAAAATCGGTCATGTAGCGAAAAATATATATACTTTTAATTTATTCGTTTGTGCAGGCATGTCTGAATACATCGACTCAAGTTTATCAGTAAGGCCATACATCATCGTGTTACATGATCCGCATGCACAATACACTTTCCAAAGCATGCCGAGCTACCTTGAAGTCGCCTTATACACCATATTCGTAGTTGATCTCATCACAGACAGAGGTTCATGTGCAATTAACGCCTCATACGCCATATTCGTAGTTGATCCCATCACAGAGAGAGGTTCATGTGCAATTAACGCCTGCCGTTGCACTCACGCCGACGGCTGCCCCGTCTGCAGTTGCTGTTGGTGGCTTTCACCGTCCCGTCACAGCAGTAACTAGATGAGCACTTCTCCACAGCCCAACCGCCACACTTTCCCGTGCCACTCTTACAGCACTTCCGACTGGTCTTGTAGCCTTCGCACTTGTTGTTGCTGACACTCCCACAGTAAGCGTTGTTCTCGTCACTGCCATCGGTGATCTCGCGATCGGGGTCCTTAGCGCCTGAGACCGTCTTGTCGCAGCAGGTGGTTGAGGTGCATTTGCAGTTGCCCCAACCGGTACATTTGTCCGAGTTCTTGCAGCACTTCAAGCTCGTTCTGTATGTTGAGCATTTGTAGTAGCTGATATCACCACAGTAGTACTTCTCCTCCGGAGTGGGCTCGGGTTTCTGAATGGTCTCGGTGGTTGGCTCGGGTGCCCGAGTGGTAGTACGTTCAGTCGTTGGCTCGGGTTCGCGAGTAGTGGTAGTACGCTCAGTGGTCGATTCGGTGGTACGTTCAGTCGTACGTTCACTGGCACGCGTGGTGGTTGTAGGTTCATCGGTCTCTGATTGAGTAGGGTGACTGCTCTCAGTTCTGGTGGTGTGCAGTACGATGTTACCGTCAGGATGCGGGATGTGACCGGTTTCAACGTGCGAATAGTACTCAGTTGTACTCACGGTAGCCACAGTCTCTGTAACCACCGGCGTGTGTGTATATTCAATAGTCACAGTTGTGCCTAACGAAGCGATTTCGGTGGGATGGGGCTCCGGAATCAAGTATGTGGTCGTGTGCCCGTGCGTTGTCTCGGTGGCAGGATTCACTATCGCCGAGCTGGTCACCACATGGGTGTGGTCTTCACTTGCGATGGTTGCAGTATGCGTAGAAACAGTCTCCCGATGGGTGTAGGTAAGTGAAGGAACCTCAATCTTAGCAATACAGCACGCTGCAGTACAATCCTCATCGCCCTCACAGTAAGTGTAAGCACTCGCCTCATCAAACAGTTCTTCGCCGCAGTCTAGCGCCCCATTCAGATGCACAGCTGCACAGGTGGTCCGAGCTTCGGGCATCGTTGCAGTCATTCTCACAGACATTTGCTTAATGAATCCTTGTCCACGATGTTCCCTTGATCCGTGCACAACCCGGAATTGTCAGCTAACCACATGGCGCAGGTACGCTTGGTCTCCGAATCTGTGGCTGGTAGAGTTTCTTCCTTGCAACAGTTTTTATCGCAATTCGTCTCACACGTGTTGTCAAGCGAGTCAGTGTCCACAATGTAACCTTGACACAGATCATGGTCCTTCACCAGCAGCATGAAACAGGTATCCACACTCTCCCCAGTCACCGGCGTTTCCGTGTGCTTGCAGCAGTTAATATCACAGTTTTTATCACAATCGATGTCCAGGTCGTCAGTATCTACTTCTCCATTCGACGAGCACAGTTCAGGATCGTCAGCGAGCAACATCGCACAAGTCTTCACCTCTTCGCCTGTGACAGGCACAACTGATTTCGCGCAGCATGTCGTCAAACTGTTTATTCAAAATTCAGGTTTCATGATCGTCATCATACTGTATATTCACTTTTTAAAGTTGACATTTGACAATAGTTGTAGACAAAGACACAATCCTTGATTTTCACAAAAACAAATCATCAAGTTCATCCCAAATATTGTGCAACAATAACAGCGAGAATAAATTTTCGTGTACACCCAAGGTTGGTGAAAGTGGAGCGCAAAATGTCAAATTTCATATCGCAATAACTTACCAATCAGCACAATCACAGACAGTATCCAAAGCGCTGATTTTTACCGTTTGATTCGAATCTGAGCAAAGATCAGCGTCAGCCAAAAGGGCAGCGGAGCAGTCTTTCGGCACACCACCACAACCAGGCTTTGTACAAGCCTTCTCATGCGCCAAGTCTGTCGATGGCGTGCAGGTGAACGGGTTTGTTACCTTACCCCCTCGAGTTCGTGTGATCAAACAGCCTTCCGCGACAGCGCAATCAGTCCAGTCACTCCACGGGTTGTACTCACAAAGCACAGGGGGTGGTAGTTCCACAATATTTCCACGTCCACCGCCGCTAATTTCGTTCAATTAAGTAGTACTTATGATTGTAAATTCACTCCCCGGGTTCGCCACATGCACTTGTGTATAGCCAAATCTGAAACCGTTATCTGTACCTTCGATGGTCATGGTTAATTCTCTACTACCATTATTATAAGTTGTACCCACTTCAGTTTGCGTAGCAGGTTTGTTTTCGTACGTAATAGGACATACGCGCGTACGTTCCTCGTTACTCTTGTCGTTATCTATACCATTTGCGTTGTGGCATTGGGAGTTAACAGTTGTTGTAGTACAAGCGCCCGAACATGTGACTGTCGTCGTCGTAGTATCCACTTTCTGTCGCCTTTCAGTAGTGTGACTGGATTCGGTCTTAGACTTGCACCCATCAGGCGTTTCTTCACTACAAGCAGTTTCAGTGTCCTCTGTCACCCGCGATCCACTTGTTTCCAGAACATACCCTCCGCACTTACATCGATATATTGTCTTGGTAGTTTCGCTGGTTGTTGGGTTGCCATTAAAAAAATTAGAAGATCTGTAAGTAACTGTAACAGTGCGACGACAACACTTATCTCGCATATCTCTAGATGTCGAACCACTCGTCGGACATGATCCGGAGTTACCGGCTGGCAAATGTGTAACAAGCGTCATCCTTCTTTTTGTTATTGTTTCGGTACTGCCGTTAGAGAATGTGGTTTGATGTTATTCGGCAACGAGCTAGTGGGCACCGTTGAGTTTGGAGGAGCACGTCCTTGAAAACTTGTAACCACGGTTGTGTCCGGCAGTTTACAAGTATACTTCGTGTCAAGACGTGTGTGGTCGGGAAAATAGTGCGGGGTCGTCGTCCATTCAAATGTGGTATTACTATCTGTAGTTGTAGTACCTCTCTGACCGTTGTTACCACTGTTCTTGATATGGTCAACGTGATCGATCTGACTCGTGATAAAATAGGGCAACAACATTAGAACTCTCCCAGATTTCTGATAGATGGACGAACAAAACAGCTAGCATGATCCTGAGGTGTACTAACCGAACCAACGGCATCGGCACGAATTGTCGAATTTGTTGAACAACGCATACCTCATGGTGATAACCGGCATAAATATATGTGAATTCCAATCCGGAGACACTTGTCAATGTTTTTTTTTTGCGTATTTCGGAAGTGTCGCCAGTGTCACAAGTAGACGTAATTACCTGCTGAGAGATTACTGCACCAGTTTGTGCATCCGTCTCTAGCGTAGATTTGCCATCGTCTTTTGTACTGAAAATGAAGTATCCCAAATGTACTGTTAATACTTGATACGCGAAACATTCACTCGGCCGTAGTTCACTTGTGGAAGTAACGTGACTGGCAAATATAAAATTGTCATTGACATACAAATACCCACCTATCTGTTATCCCACCGTGGGCTTCGCACGTGGAGTCCGAAGTGGGATCTGGCTTGGCAAAATATTCATTCGCACTATATAGGGGGCTCGCAGGATCGCTCTTGTCTATAATGAGGAATCGCATAGACTTCGATCCATCATCGCACTTCTGAATCCAGCTCTTCTCTGTGGTCTACAAGTTAAAGCACAGTATGCAAGTGGAAATCAATATTAGACATGGTTAAAACTTTGAGCCAGTCCAACCAATAAACATGTGCCACACGCTATATCGCACGTTTTGCAGATGCGGCTATTCGACTTCGGCAGGGCAAACTGCTGGATACTTTTCTAACACAATACACAGAAACGCCGGCGCGATCAAAAGGCCGTCACCTGAAAACCATTCTTATACCAGCACGTATAGAATTTCTTCGTAAGACGTACAAGACCTCACCTGGGTGCCTTGTACTGGCCTTTCCTCGAATACGAAATACGAAATTTCCATCTGGTGAGCCCGAATCACATTGTGGGGCATCCGTATCCTGCCAAGGATTGACATTTCCGGTAAAAGTAGCTATTGGGAAATCTGCATCCGCAGAAACGATTGATCCCCACACTAGTGTCAAGATGAGATATGCTGATATACCCTGTACATACATAACGGATATTGGTTGAAAAGTTGTTAGTTGAGCAATAATTGAGTCTGGAACTGGAATTATGGTTGTGTGTAAACTGTAATGGAAGTAACTCTCTTTTTTCGTCTTTTTTTAAATAGTTCTAAGTTCAGAGAATATTGCTACATACGTAGGGACTAGCTACTAGGGAGCTACGGCAATTCCGGACTTCCACAGTAAATTGGCAATTCCGGACATACAAAACCAAATCTAAAATCTACCACCACTCCACCAGGCACCAGCCCCACTCCCCAGGCATAAATATTTAGGGTTTAGGGGTTTTTTTATATAGGAAATATCAGAGTTACTCGGAGTACGGAGATACAGACGTTATCACCTATCTTTGACAAAATATACTTTTCTTTACTACATGAACAAGCCGGGTGTCAGGATGCGCTCGGTTGGTATACGACAACGATGTACAGTCGTACACCCATAAAAAAAGTCGTACAACGTGTAAAATATGACTGTTTATAGTTCATGGATTTTTTTAGACAAAAACAGTTTGATGTACACCGAGTGTCCCAATCGGACCCGACGACAACATGTCATCGGACCCGACGACACCATGTCGCGTTCGACATGTCCTAAAAAATATATAAATAACATCGAGACAATCATGTATATTTTATTTATTTTAAATAGTTTGTCCAAATGACGGCGTCGTTCACCAAATGCCAACCCAGCGCCGGGCACCGAGTGGAATGAGGATGCAGGTCGAATGATTCGATGGACGAAGAAGCAACACCAAATATTAGTGATATAATTATTACCAGTTTATGACTCTACAGTCTACATAAGGCTCTGTGCTCTACTAATAGAGAGACTGAGAGAGTTTCTCTCTACATATGTCATACATATGTACATACATATTAATTATTACATACATAGAAAGAGAGTCTGAAAGAGTGGGTGTGGTTTTTATATATAAAATATTACTCATATGTACATACTGTATGTACATAAATACCATCATACATAATACTGTACTCTGTACAAGCTACATCAAGTGTTTCTTTTTGAGTTTTTTTCTATAATATTCCGTCTACCGTCTACACTCTACTGTGTGTGACCGGTGACTCGGTGAGTCTGTGTCGCACCAACGTCTAACTCTGACGTCTGACGCGTGTGTGGAGTCAGTAGTCAATAAGACGATTATTTAAAATAAAATAAAATATACATCGGGTTCGAATAAAACCACCGATTTTCTATTTATAGAAAGGCTCACGGGCATTATTGAGTTGAGACTCATTAAGAGTTCATCAGAGTTGAGAGTTGAAAGCTCCTGCTCAAGTATGTATGTTTTTAATTATAGTATGTAGCAAGTAGCAACTATGTAGTAGAGTCTGCCAGAGCCTGAGAGAATTTCTAATATATAGTGTAGTATACATGTACCTCTACAATCTACATACTCTATTACTATATCGTATTTATAAATCTGTATCAGTGTATTCACTACTACTTGACAGAAAATAAGCTCCTACTCTCTCATCAGCTCTGAACTTAGACCAACTCTGAATAGTCCTATAAAATAAAATATAAAAAGCAGGAAGCTGATATAGCAACCACACTATATAAGGCTGTCCAAAATGAAATCACAAACAAAACAAACAAACAAATATCAGCCTTGAAGCTGGCTGCTAAAAAAATCCACCCGTGTTTTGATCTCTACTTCAAAAAAAAATGGTATCACATGATGCATATTGTGCGGGCGCGACAGTGTCTCAACTATTGATAAAATACAACCCAAATGGTTTGTATCCCAAGGGCGTGATGTGCAGTTTGATATATGTGCTCCTATTAATATATATATATATATATATATATATAGCGGAGATCATATAAACTTATAATC